GAGTTCCATCTTCGGCTGATTTGAAAAATATGGTTTTGAGAAAAAGCCGATCAAAGTTCCAAGCGTTGAAGCTGACTGATCCCAATGCATCGACAATACAGTGGATTGGAGAGAGAAAACATTTTTAATTCATTAGTGTACTAATTGAATAAAGTTTTTCAGACCACGAAGCAAGTTTTAAGTCAAAAGAAATCTAATCGAATTTGGTACAAAAATAAAGAGGAAAGAAAAACGGTTCTTAACACATACTAATTGTATATATTGGTGTAGTAAAAAAAATCCATATTTTTTCTCCAATAGATGCTGTTATTTATCTGCATCTCGCGTTGTATAAGTCCGATCGGGTTCGGCTAGATGGCGTTCGAATGATGTTATTTCGTATTAAAAACCTTTTCTGACAGTTTTGTGATTGGTTGATTCAGTTTTGTTTGAGCGCTTATGGTCCTTACTTACTTTCGTTGATTCCGTTACGGTAATTTCGATGTCAAAATGCACCACGCTCTGGAAAAGCAATTATCGAAAAAATAATAGAAATCGCCAAGTCCAAACATCGATTACGATTGTTCAGGACCTAAGCATTGCTCAAAAAACCGTTTGAAATCATTTGAATAAGGCTAGATACGAAAAGTAATAACTAAAGCATTCAATTTCATGCAAAAATAATGTATTTACTCTTACTACACTAATATTTTATTCTTCGAAACAGAAAAAAAAACTCGACTATAAGTCGCCAGGAAAAAAGTTTTGAGAGCCTGTTGTAACAAAGAATAAAAAAAATATTGTAGTTTTTACTCTTCTATGCAAGTCTCCTAAAAGCAATTGCGCTTTTTATTACGTACCTCACAGTTTACCTGTCGTTCAGACCTCAGCAAGCGCAATTAGTGACTCTTCAATGTTTCTGACAAATCCTTGATTCTGCAAAATCAAGGCTATGCTAAAGACACGTGGCTGTAACCTCCCTCTATACTTTGACTAATTAAATGGAAAACAGTAGTTAACTTATCCTTGACTTTGAATCCATTTTTATTATTGTTCAGTTCATTCAGTTAAACTTTTGTTAAGCTATTTTGTACTTAACAATGGTAAAGTCTTCGCTTCTGCTTCAGGTATTTTTGGTCGTAATTAACTGCACAACGACTACAACAACAAAGGCGTTACAAAACGTGCAACATCACTTGTGAAATACACGCAAATTTACATCATGTGAGTTTGCACCGAAAATACTAATGAATATAGAGCAAAGGATTAATTTCAGGCATATACATCTTAAAAAGTTAAAAACTAAATTTTAAGGATTTTTTCACAAGTTTACAACAGTCACAGAAGAAGTAAAAACCGGAATATATGTACATACCTTTTTATTACACATTACATTTTTATTACTTATTTATTAAAAACCTAAAAAAGCAGTTAAAAATTCAAAAACCGAAAGATTATCAATCTGCATTGATGTTGCAATTGCATGAACTAGCGATAAGTAAAAAAAACTTTTTTTGACAAAATAGCGACTGTTTGAAAAAAAAAAAATTTTTTTTTTACCATTTTTTTTATTTTCTGTTATTTTTTAAAAATAGTAAAAATTGAAATTTGGGGATGAGGCTAGCTTGAGAGAAGTCTATAAAAAAGACGCTCTAAAAATTTCAAGTAAATCGGTTCAGTAGAACTCTGGTCTGAGAAAAACGCATTTATAATTTAGGGTGAAGTCTTTTGTTCGATTAGACCCAGCCGAACCGGCTTGGAGGCCGTGTCAGTAAAATGTCTATATCTCCGAAAATAATTTAAATTTTGAAAAAAACACTCGTAGACATATTCTTAAACAGTTAAACTTTGAAAATATGAAAAAAATTGTTTTTTTTTTCAAATTCTACACTAGAATACATCCATAAACTGATCTTCATAGGAGATATTTTTTTTATTAAGTAACCTTAATTTGACTTCAAGGTTGTTTATAACCAATAATAAAAACATTTTCTGTAGATTGAAATCAATGATTTCTTTCAAATTTATACTTTTCATGTACTTTATTGAAAAGTTTATCGGAATTTAAAAATTACGTTTTTAGTAAATAAAGAGACATTTTGCAATTTTTTTTGAATAAAAATATTTTTTTAACCTTTTTAACATATATTTCTGTACCTTCTTTAAACTTAAATGATTGTTGTACTTGAAACAATAGTAATGATTCGAAAGCAAAGCGAAAACCAAAATCAAACGAAGAATATAGAAATAATCAAAAAGTTGAAAGGAATTAATTTAACGTGATCCGTTTGTGGGTACGAGTTGCGTAAAGTTTTTTGAATATTTTTTTTGTTTTTAATTTTATACACGTGACGATAAATATCAGATGAAATTGCTCCCTGGCTATTTTAATTACAGTTTGATGTAGCAAAGTACACTGGGGAACTCTTAATTCCTCATCCCTATTGCCAAAAAACTTTCGAGGCGGATTTTTCACCAACAAAATCATTAGCCATAGACAGGAACAAATAGTAATCACTTTGTGTCGGCCAGTTGTGGCAAAAATTCCTAGCCGCTGTTCTCCAAAAAGTTTTTAAACGATCTTACAACATGTTGCTGAGCGTTGCTATGATGGAAAATTATTGACTCGCGTATATTCGCAGTTTTGGGCGCTTTTTGGCATTTATGGTTTCACCTGGCTTTAAAATCTCATAATACAACAGGCCCTTCTGATTCCACCAAATACAGAGACTAGGTAATAGTCGTCATGGCTATTCGGCTTTGCCGTTGATCGTTGACTGTGTTGGGCAGGTTTCATATATGATTGTTTGCATTGGGGTTATCGTTATGAATCACCGGCCCTAATCGGGTACAATAATTACTTCCTACTTCTTTTTGTAGCGCTCAAACAGCATTTCTGTAGCACGAACAGAGTTCGAAAAACAAGTTTCTCTTTGATCTCAAGCACGCCTTGCCTACATCCTTGCTACAATCACAATTTTATCAACTAATAAATTCGTCAAAATTATGCTCCTCTTAATATGACGAAATTTAGTAACTACAAACATGCATATACCTATATACAAATAAGGTGTTTAAATTACAATTGTAATCTCTTGATTTAATCAATCACATTCAGAACTTGTCACTATACATACATGCATACATATTTACAATGCTCCACAAAAATGCAAAAAATCTGCGAAAACTTCCAAATTTATTAGCGCCAACTATTCGATTGCGCTGCAGCGTAATTCATGTGTATTTTAATCAAAGCTCCATTCAGCTTTTCACGGTAGCCTGAAAAGCCTGCGCGCATATTTTATTGCAATTTTTTCGCTTCCATCACATGCAAACATACATACATATTTCCTTATGTATTGTAGTATAAAATGTGCTAAATAGTTGTGTGTGGGCGCACTTGCTGGCAGACTTTGGCGAGGGATCCTTTGAAATTACAAAATTACATATATACATGCATATGAATATGAATGTGAATGTATGTATATTGATATTGTTATGCTTATACATATGTATATGTATATATATATGTATATATGCATAAGTGAACATACAATGCATACTTGAAAAGCTTTATGTTTGTAGCTGTGCATATTTGTAGGCTACTTGACGGCATGTCATTTGTATGTGCCTATGTTTATATGTATATATATATATACTTATGTATGTAAATAAAGCCAAAGCGTCGCAAGATGGCGCGTGCTGAAATGCATAAAGTAAAAAACAAAAAAAATTCAGCCAACATTTCTGATGCTATAGGAAGCAGCACACACACACACACACAAACACATATGACACATACATGCACAAGTATATACATATGTACATATATACAGCACATTTTGGCTGGGCTCCAATCCTGTGTGACAAACTGTATGGCACGACTTGAGCTTTTTCTAGCCCACAACAGCACATCGATCGACGTTGCGCAAAGCGAAGCCAAAGCGACAACGACAGCAACAACGATAGAAAAAAAAAAAAGAATCAGCAACATAAAAACAGCGTTGCTGCTAGTGACGGGGTGTACCTACAATGACGCTGGTGAATAGTCACCTCGACAGCGCCACTCACAACCCACTCGCACTCTGTACTCTGGCGTACTTGTATCTACAAATTTATAGATGTATGTATGTTTGTATAGGCAACCATTTGCTGCCAAACAGTGTAACTACAAAGTTTTCGGCAGCGAGTCGCGCTTTTTGGCTGCTGCTGCTGCTACTGCTGCTGATGATGAGGCAAATGTGCGGCTGTTGAACCGACACGTAGGGGGTGTGGTTATAGGTGCGCTGTTGAGCAAGCATGTGTATGTTTGTGTGTGTGTATGTACAGAAGTGCTTGCGCTAGCTTTAAGGTTGTGCTTCGCTATTTGCTGCTCTGCTTATATCTATTTATACAGATATATATTTAGGTATCTGTGGTTGTGTAGGTGCTTGCTGCCATTTCGGGTGGGTGGAGCGGTGTGGGTGTGCGCGCATAAGAAATGTTGGTGGTTGGGGCAATAAATAGGCAAATAACCGCCAACTGGGCTTCCAAATGAATACATTCATGTGTATTTACAGCTGCAAAGCATATCGACGAGCTTATAAATATTATCTACAAACAGCGATGGCAACAACAACAACATCACTCATATTGCTTTAGTATAGCATGTAGCGTGTAGCGGTCGCGGTAGTTGCCTAAAACAACAACAATAAAAACCAAAATTAATTTCTAGCTGTGGCAGCCATCTACAGATGGTCATAGCATATAGTTGTCCCGTTCTAACATATTTACAACGCGCTGCCGCTACATTGCCTTTTACTCTGCATATTTTGTCACACAAACACACACACTCGACGTTGCGTACAGTAGCGCTACTCTTCTCTTTCAGCTTTACAGTTGCGAGGCTTTCCTCATAAACCAACACTATCTATTGCTTTCACACTCATTTACTCTGCATGCTTGTGCTCACACAACTATAGTATATAGTCAACCCCGCCGTTATGTATAGCTCCGCCACTAATCGTTCATTTCACTTACAGCTCACCTTCGCCGACGCACTTACGTTTGTTCCCTTGCCGCTGCGACACAACAATACAGTTGGCAAACTGCTGCTGCTGCTGTTGCTGCTACAGCCATAACGTCGTCAACACTCATGCACACGCATACACGCGGGTTTGAAAAGTCGAAATCGAGTTTTGCCGTCGTACACCATTCACACCGCCACCGACAGCAACCACCGCACACATAGGCGCAAAGGTGTTGCTTGTTTGTGAGCCGCACCACAGTCAGTCCAAAAGTTACGTTCATTCAGTTCACTCGGTCTTTGTGCAGCGTTGTCGTCGTAGTCGTTGTCGTGTTGTGCGCTGCGCTTATCCACACACCGTCTTTCACGCCTGTTGCCCGTTATCATTCATAGTGCTAATAGTAAAATAATAATTATTTTATATATTTTGAAACGTGTTCTGCGTGCGAGTTCGCAAATATTGTGCCGTTTCGAATTTGGCGTGTTATTTTCGCAAGCGAAATTATAAAGCGTGTTGAAATTTGCGTGTCAAATCGCAAGTAAAAAAGCGACTGTGTCGAGAAAAGTGTGTTCAAAAATAGCGAGGGTTTAGCAAAAACCCTACGTAAAAGTTAGAAAATATAAATATTGAAACAAAAACAGAAATTTTGAAGAAAAAAAAATGTGCAAACGGAAATGAAACAATAGCAAAGTTATAAAAACAACAAAAACAAACACAAGCAAATGCAAAGTGTGGCAGCTTAAGAGGCATAAAAGTGTTGATACACATTCAATTGTGTTAAAAGCAGCAAAAAAACTAAAAAAAAATTAATAAACAAATATTTTTGTGTGCGAATCAATCGTAGGACAGACCAATAAAACCATTCTGGAATTTCAAAAAAGAAGCTATAAACTGTCAACTCTTTTAGTGAATGTCATACAACAACTAATAACAACATTGGATTACATACTTACATCTTTAAATCCATAAAATACAGCGCATACAACTTCGTTATTAAGTATCTCTGTGTCAAGTACTCATAATAGTTGTGCTATTTTACTACAAAACTAAATCAATTTGAAAACTTATAGCTTAGTTGTGTGGAAAGTGACATTTCAGTCATCAAATCAGTGCACCGATGCTACCACATTTGGAATACTCATAAGCTAATAGCCGTCGCAACTGTAAGCTACAAACGCGCCGTTAGCCAAGTGCAAGCAAAGCCGCTTTAACGCGAGAAATATAGTTTGGTAAGTCAAATTTGGGAGTAGATAAAGCATAAAAACGAAAATATAATGAAAAAAAAAATGAAAAAGAAATATAATGTAAAATAAAAATAAAAATATAAAAAGCCAACATAATGCAAAAATTATACTAAAGAGATATATTGTGGCATAAATTTTAAATAGTATTTTGAGGAGCTGGAATTTTTACTTTGAAAATACTTATAAATATAGTAATAAGCGCATAGTCCTTTGCGTAAGCGCTATATTTTGTGATGCGCTGGTAGGATTATGCTATTTTGTTTTACTAATCGAATTCAAAATGTTCTAAAATAATTTTTGTTATGAAAGCAATATTAAACGGCCCAAATAACAGTTCAAAAATGCGCACTACAATAATACTAATATTGCATCTACAATCCTTACAACTCATAATACAATATATGCAACTATTTTAACGAGTTGTTTCTTAAATTAAACTAAATTGGTACTAAGCAGATTAAAATCTTCTTACTACAATAAGCTATAAATTAGCTCAAAACACAAGACTTGCCTAAAAAGTTTTTGAACGCAAATTTTTTCAAGTTTTCACATTAAACTTTAAAAATTATGCTCATATACATACAGATAAGGCAAAACTCAGACCGAGCTGGTCATATGAAACCAAAGCGCACCTCAGCTGAATACAATTTGAAAGTTATTCAAACTTTTCAAAATAAAGTTTTTACTACAATTGGAAACTTTTTTATTTGAGAAACGATGCGCTCCATTGAGACCGAAAAGTGGACAGTAGAAGAAACTATAACAGAATTTAGTAATCGTCATCTCACTACATTGAAGATACATGATAATATACTTTCGATCCAATTACTGTTGACAGTAGTCAACAATGTAGAAAACTAACTAGATACCACGCATTAGATCTACCCATTTCGATTTAATTGATCTCATCTTCATTTATGTAAAACTACTGTCATAATGCGTCAACATCATTGCTATTGTCAACAAATTTACTTATCATAATTTCCTTACTTGCGCTACGTGGCAGGAACACAACTAGATACGCATGTTTATAAGCAATGAAGGCCATAAAATGCAATTAGAAAGTACGCTTGTAGCAAATAGTTGTGTGCTTGCTGCTTATACTTCAAAAATACAAAGGTAAAACTGTATATTGTTAGCTCGAAGTCTTCAGAAACATATGTTAAATACTTATTGTTTTGTTATAGTTCAGGTGTCTTAAGCTTTTTAATGTGTTCTTGTTATATTTTAAATTTATTTTTATAAATCAGTGGTTTAAAAAAATGCTACAAAAGATTAAATTTTCTAGAAGTTTCGATATATTCTAATTTTCGATTTGCTTGATTGTTGCAACTGACTACTGTGAATAGATGATTTGCTCAAAATGAGGTTTTAAGCAATTTTTCACAACAAAAACACATCTTCAAATATTGGGACGTGTTCATAGGCAACTGCAACCCGCCTAAAATTATATGATAATCACATAATATGTGTAGTAAAGCATAAAAAAAAATTCAAATTTCACTTATGATTTGCGATTTATACTCTGAGTTTATATCCATATACATACATACATAAATGAGCGGCGTGACAACTAAGTTGATTTAGCCATGTCCATGTATAAACGCAAACTAGTCCCGCAGTTTTTGATATATTGGTCTGAAATTTTGCTCATATCCTATTATCCTCAAAGAGGCTGCACATTTCTCGGCATCACTGATATCGAATCACTATAACATACAGCTGCCATACAAACTGAATGTAAAATCAAATACTTGCATGGTAAACTTTTTTTATTTAACAAGATATCTGGACGAAATTTGGCATGGATTATTGTTCAAGGCAACGGGACAATCTCTGAAAAAATTGTTCAGTTCGAACTACTATAGGCTATAGCTGTCATGCAAACGTATCGATCAATATAAAATTTTTCTATAGAGACTTCTTTATATGTGAAAAGTATTCTAGCTTGAAGCTAACGTTTTTTCTTGTATTGACTACAAGTATCATTTGGCATCTATATATACATATATAATATATGAATATAGTTTAGAATGCTAAAGTACTAAGTATATACTCTTCTTATTTGTTAAAATTTAAACCAAAAAACAAAAAACCAACTCTAAACTTTTTTGTTTGCCAAGAAAGTTGATATTTTTCAAAAAAAAACAAGCATAAAATTGTAAAAATTTCGTTCATTTGAAAATATTTTTACATATAATATGATATGCTCGATAATATACATATGTATAATATTCGTCGCTTATCGCAATATCAAAGAGAGTTTTTCATTGTGCAAATGAAGTTTTCGCCAGAAATATATCTTAAAAGCAATCAAACTTCTCATTCGTATCTAAAAAATAAATTTAAAAAATTTACTCTCAATAAAGCGCATTTAGATGATTAAAAAAAATTTCGAAGAATTTGTGTGGTCATTAAAATAATACGTAAAAAAAAAAAAATTGTTGCCTACTTCGCTAAGCTATAATGCTTATTAAAAAAGTCGAACAACCAAATACGTTCCCTTAAATTAACAATTTCTAAACCAAACCTTGCTTAGTCTTCAATATTTGTATATTCCACATTTTTTTCTCATTTCTCTGCACTAGATATACATATAATATTTATTTATAATTTTAGCGTCTTGGGCTATAAATCAATTTTAAAACATTTGTCATTGTAAACCGCCAGCTATTTCGGCTTCGACTTAATTAGTAGATGCTTTTGGGTGAAAATTTGCAAATATTCACGCTGAGCAACCTTCAAATACATAATAAATAAATACAATATAATAAGAGGCGAAAAATATATTAAAACAAAAAGTAATATACAAAATAGCAACAAAAAAAAAACAATAAATTAATAAATGCTTACGCATGCTCACACGAGCGTGTAGACTCATAAAATAAAATTTGGACGCAAAATATGAAGCCGCATCTGCGTTTAGCGCACAGGCAATTAGTCATAAATATTTCCAAGATTTTCGTACAATTAAAACCGCGCTGATCTTCGACAAAATGACCAATGCAAACCAAAGGAAAATAATATTAACAGAGAAACTACCAGCAAATAACAAAAAAAAAATAAAAAATCAATATAAAAATAACAAGAAAAACAACAAAATGCAGAACAGCTAAAAAAACCTATGTTTTATTAAATTTACTAACAACAAAAACAACCTAACGCAAACAAAACATCAAATCAGGAAAAGAACAACAAACACAGCAAAACAATACCGTGCGTTGATTTTCCGTCTGCTCTCTGCTTAGTGACCGCAGCGGCTGCGACGGCGGTGCAGCATTAAACAAAAATCCAATAATATTAAGCAACGCTTAACATATTAAAATGCCGACACATTATTCACACGTTTTTTGTAAGTAGCAACCGGCTATACCGCGCTGCCACCAACACCAGCAACGCTGCTGTCCGTCCACCGAACGCCGTGCGTCGCTTACGTGGAACCTCTTCTGCGCGCTTAACGTGTTTATTTCCACATGTGATTTTGTGCTTTTATATTAAATTTGTGTGTGTGTGTGTGTGTGTGTGTATTAGTGATGAGCGCGCGGGTGTTGGAGCGTTGAACACGCTGAATTCTTAATAGCCGCTATAAATTATTTCGTATATTTCTGCCAACGTTACAATATTAATGTCTTGTAGTATTTTGTTTAGCAGCCGCCGTGCGAGCCTCAGCCAAGCAGCCCGAGCGGCTCAAGCAACCAACCAACCAGCGAAGCAAGCGCGCAAGTAAGCAGACAGCGCTCAAGCAGCCGACAAACACGATCAATATATTTTTTGCTTTATTAATTATTGAACATGAAAGCATAGCTGCTTCAACTGCTAACTGCTGCGTTTCGTTCGCCGCGCAACGCCGCTACCCTCACACTGCTGCCTCACTTCTTGTGTTATTGCTTGTATTATTGCTCTAACTTCCACTTCTGCTGCTTCTTCTTCTTGCGCTGACCGCCGATTTGCATATTGTATAAATTAAATACAACAACTAACAACAACAGCAAATACGCGCATACTACACATGTTCGACGCGCCACAGCTTCAACGGCAGCCGCTACAAGCATACATATTAATATACATACAAACAGCCGCTTATAATGACTACATATGTACATACATATAAAAACAAGCATCGTACAAATTACTCCCAGCCATTTGGAGATTCAGTGAGAAATGTTAATTTTCATAAGAAGGGGTTTCCTAATATCATTTCGATATTCGAACGCTTCTGCTGTGTTATATGGCAGCACAATAAAACTGGTTGCACACACATACACACATATGCATAGTCTCACACTTAGTTAAAGCGTTTGGCTGCTAAATACACATTAGTCTAATATTTTATTGTTTGTGCGGAGGCATTCTCGCTTCTATCTCTAATTTACTTGTTTTGATAAGAACGAATTGTGTGCTGGGTAAAACCGCAAGTTGCTCGGCTTATGTTGTTCTAGGCTGCTCTTGGAAAGCTTGACTTTTCGATATCCATTTATGTGTTAAATATTTATGCGTTAAGCAGACCAATTTTGTTTAGTTTTGAGAAAGTTGTAGATGTGGTAATGTTAGTAGTATAATGCACACATAAAAAGTAAAATTATTCAGAGAGTGAATCAGATTTGGAGAAAATTTAAAAATTATCTATCGAAACACATATTTAAAGTAAACAAGAAAAAACGTTAACTTAGGTCGCCTCGAAGCTATAATACACTTCACAAATACAAAAAATTCCTTATAAGAACTTGCTTCCGATCATTCAGCTTATATGAGAGCAATATGCTATAGTGATTTGATCTGAACAATTTCTTCGGAGATTCTATTATTGCTTTAGAGAATGATACGTTCCAAATTTCGTGAAGATATTTCATCAAATGAAAAAGTTTTCCATACAAGCACTTGATTCCGAGTGTTCAGTTTGTATGGCAGCTATATGAATATAGTGATCCCATATCGGCCATTCCGACAAATGAGCAGCTTATTGGTGATAAAAGGTTATCTGCTAA